ATACTTAATTCAATTGGTTCCCTGGGAAGCCCCGTCTGCTGCTCTTGCGGAGTCTCTTCTCAAGGTTCCCATGTGGCTCCAACTATGGGGAGTCCCTTACGAGTGCTGTACAGAGAGGCTGAGATACCTGCTGGGGGCTTCGCTTGGTCCGGCGGAACAAGCAACTATTCACCAATCTGAAGGATCCGGGAAAATCTTCCTCCGGGTTAAGGTCGTGCTGGATGTAACCGCCCCTCTACCTGACGAAATCCTCGCGGAGCATGAAGCTTCAGCCAAAGGTGCGTTCAAGGCTCTGGTGAAATATGAGCGACTTCCCCAGTTCTGCTTTCTCTGCGGGATCATCGGCCACCCAGGCCACCGATGCCCAAACAGGGAGGAGTTTGGAGACCAGGGCCCCCGATATGGGAGATCCACGTTGAGCAGGGAGAAAGGCCCGAGGCTGAACGAGCAAACCCTGGTGCAAAAGAGGAAATTCACCTGGCTTCGATCCCCAGATCAGAGGAAGGAGGATGCTGGCAGTTGGGGCTTGACTTCCCAGCAAGCAGGTGCGCTAGTGGTTAACGCCCGGATGAAGCAACTTGTCATCACTGCTGGTGCTAGCAACCCGGATCAGATGAAGTCCATGAAGAACAGTGTTGTACATCCTGCTGCTGGGTTGATCACAGAGGAAGGGGAAGTGGCGGAACTTGTTGAGCCAGTGGCAAAGCGACCGCGGACAGAGAACAAGGGTCCTGATAGCCCGGATGCAGGGTAGCTGAGGGTGGAGGTGACCAGCCCGGATTGGTCCCCGGCGACCAAATGAGTGTTCTGGCGTGGAATTGTCGGCGCCTGGGTTCCCTCCTGACAATTCCCTCGCTAAGGGATGCCCTCCGTCGACACTTGCCCTTTCTTATCCTGCTCAGCGAAACGAAGCGAGATGATGACTTTGTTGAGGGTCAACTTAAGAGTCTATGTTTTAAGCATTTCCATTCGTATCAGGGTCGTAGTAGAGGGGGGGATTTGGCAGTAGCCTGGTCGGATCAGGTTACCTGTACAGTGTCATCTCCAAACCCCTCTTTCATTATTGTTGAATGTTTACATCCAAGTTTAGGCAGATTTGTGGTGATCTTTGTTCACCTTAGCTGTGCTGTAAATATTAGGGAGGATCAATTGAATGAAATTAGCTTGTTTGTCTCGTCGTGCGATATGCCTTCGTTCGTGATGGGGGATTTTAATTGCTTGCTTTCGTCGGCTGAAAAGCAGGGAGGGCGCCCCCCCCCCCCCCCGGCCGCGTTTGATCAACTCCATAACTTCTTACTCGTTACTAATCTTTCAGATTTGGGTTGTGTTGGTGTTCCCTTCACTTGGTCTAATCGTCAATCAGGTAATCGACATATACTGGAGCGGCTTGATAGGTGTTTGGCTAACCCTCTGGCTTTGTCCTCGTGGCCTGAATTGCAGGTTCGACACCTAACGGATCTCGGCTCCGATCACAGGATGATGCTGCTGCAATTTGTGAAGGCAGCAAACCGCAGCGGGAGACGATTTCATTATGACCTGAGATGGGACACGAACCCGGAAGTGCCGGACATTTTCCAACAGTCTTGGTCCAAGGAGGTGAGAGGGACGTCCCAATTCAAACTTCAAACTCGGCTGAAGAACTTGCGTCACGGGTTAGTGGAATGGGCTCGAAATGGAACTTCCAACTCAGCTCGTCAGATTAAAATCCTCAAGGAGAGCATTGAGCTGGCCAAGGAGGCTCCAAGTGTGCAATGGGAACACATTAAAGACTTGGAAGTGCAGCTAGGAGAAGCCTTTAAGGAAGAGGAGCGGTACTGGATGCAAAAGTCCCGAGTCCGATGGCTGCGAACTGGGGATGCAAATTCACACTTCTTCCATCTCACTACACAGCAGCGGAGAAGGACAAATTCCATTCTTATGTTGAAAGATGAACATGGGGTGCCTCACTCCAATGAAGATGAGAAGGGTGGGATTGTTGTTGACTACTACAAAGTGCTCTTCACCTCCTCAGGCAACGACCCAAGTGACTATGTTGGCCAACTCCACCTACCTCAGGTTGTCGATAGCGAGGCGAACAGATTCCTCACAGCGGCTGTGACGTATGAGGAGATCCGCAAGGCGGTATTCGCCATTGGCAAATCCCAAGCACCCGGGTCAGATGGATTCACAGGAGCTTTCTACCAGCGGTTTTGGACTGAGATTGAAGGTGATGTCTGCGAGGCAGTCCTGTCCTTCTTCAATACGGGGCGTCTTCTCCAAAGCATCAATCACACATGGATCGCCCTGATCCCTAAGGTCCCTCACGCAGACTCGATGAAGCAAATGAGGCCCATCAGCTTGTGTCAGGTTTTGTATAAGATAATTGCTAAGATCCTTGCTGGGCGTTTAAGTTCCATTCTTCCTAACATTATGAGTTCGTATCAGAATGAATTTATCAAAGGTCGTTCTATTACTGACAACATTTTGATTGGGCAAGAGATTATGCAGTTTCTTAAAACGAAAACACAGGGGAAAGAGAAGTGGATGGCACTCAAGCTGGACATGGAGAAGGCGTACGATCGTGTCGAGTGGAACTTTTTGCTTGCAGTCCTGGAGGTGATGGGATTCTCTCGTACCTGGCTCAAGTGGATACACTCCTGCATAACCACAGTACACTTCTCAGTCCTCATGAATGGCGTTGAATATGGATACTTCCAACCCCAGCGGGGAATTCGGCAAGGTGACCCTCTCTCCCCCCTATTGTTTGCTCTTTACTCCGAAGCCTTTTCTGCTCGGATTCTCGCTGAGATTTCAACTTCTTCTCTCCATGGCCTGCGTATACATAGGTCGGCGCCAATGACTTCGCATCTTCTTTTTGCTGATGACACCTATCTTTTCCTTCGGGCTTCCCGGCCGGAGTGTGCTAACTTACTTCAAATGTTTGCTGATTATGAAATCATGAGCGGGCAGAAAGTTAATTTGCACAAGTCCTCTTTGTGTGTCAGTAGTAATGTTAATGAGCTGGAATTTAATGATATTGCTGACTTCTTGGGAGTTGCTAGGATGGGTGTAGGGGACAAGTATCTGGGGCTCCCCTCGCAAGTCCTCCGATCTAAGACACTAACATTTCGGTTTGTGGAGGAGGCCTTAGCGGCTAGAATCCGAAACTGGAAAGCAAAGTCTTTGTCTCTTGCAGGAAAAGAAGTGGTCATTAAAGCGGTAGGAGCTGCAGGACCAGTGTACACGATGTCGGCCTTTCGCCTCCCGGGAGCCACTTGTCGGCGGTGCAATAGCTTGCTGTCCAGATTCTGGTGGGCAGGGCAAGACAAGGAAAATGGCATTAGATGGCTTTCTTGGACTGCAGCCTGCCAAAGCAAGTTTGAAGGGGGCCTGGGATTCCGGGACTTCGACCGGTTCAATGTGGCCTTGCTCGCCAAACAGGCATGGCGAATTCTCATGAACCCGGACAGCACCTTAAGTCAGCTGTACAAAGCCCGCTATCACCTAAATTCCCAATTTCTAGCGGCAACCAAGGGCTCTCGGCCCTCCTGGGCTTGGCAAGGGATCTTGGAAGGGCGGGATTTGCTTGCTCGTGGGCTGCGTTGGCAGATCGGGTCAGGGACTCAAGTCCGAGTGTTGGAAGATATCTGGCTATCCACTACCCCGCCGTCCTCGCCTGCTTTACTGCATGGAGTGTCGGCTGCCCCAAGGAAAGTGGCTGAACTTATTTGTGTTGAGTCAAGGACATGGAAGACGGATCTCCTTCACAGTCTATTTGAACCGGATTCTGTTCAAGCTATTCTTAGCATACCCTTGGGCACTCGGCTGTCGGCGGACCGATTGGTCTGGCATTACTCGAGCACAGGAGAGTATACAGTGAAGACTGGATACCATGTTCTAACTAATGAATTAAATGCTATTCACCCCCCGGATGCTTTACCTTTTGACTGCAAGTTCTGGAAGCTCCTGTGGAACTTGCCGGTGCCTCCGAAACTCAAGGTATTCTTTTGGAGAGTGGTGCGCTGCTTCCTTCCTCTTCAAACAGTGCTCCTGTTCAAGAAACTTGTCGATACACCTACCTGCCCGGTGTGCACAGAAGGTCCGGAGACATTCACCCACTGCTTCTTCCAGTGCCGGGTGGTGCGAGAGCTATGGCGCATGGCGGGATTTGAGCACATCTGGTCCCGACTAGAGGCTGTCAGCCCGGAGGAGGCCTGGAAGGACCTACTCTTTTCTTTGCATCTATCTAAGTTGCAGGTCTCCGACATTGTGTTCCTTTGCTGGCGGGTTTGGAAGGCACGCTGCTGGGCTGTTCATGGAGGTATCCAGTACCTAGCTCCTGCGTTACTCAGGCAGTATCGAAATCAAGTGGAGGAATGGCGGGCTGCTAGCTTACCTGATCAGCCGCTACGAAGAGAGACCCAACCTGGCGCTAGGAGACGTCCGGAAACCGTGGAGGGCACGTCTGGAACGCTACAATGCCAGCGAGGAGCTGCTGCCCGAGCTCCATTCAATGCCATAACTGTCCGTGTCGATGGAGCGATTAAACGTGCGCGTGGTGGCAGCATAAGATTCGCAGGTTTCGATCCGAATGGCAGCCTACTAATGGCGTTCGGTAAGTACTATGAGGGCATCCAAGATCCTTTTATTGTGGAACTTTTAGGCTTGCGGGATGCAATGAATTGGTGTCTGACTCATGGATTTATGCATGTTAAATGTAGACACCAGTTTTTGTCCGGGTTAAAGTATTCAATTAAACAAAATTTAATTTTTGTTTAAGATTTACAATAGTGAATCTTAAATCACCTTACATATAAAACGTATTTATAGTGGTCGGAACACGTCATGTTTTTCATAACTTAATGAGATTAGCAATAGCAAATCTCATTTTGTACAATTCGGATCAATGAGATTAGCAATAGCAAATCTTAATTGGTACAATTTGAAAGCGATGACATGCTTGGGTCACACAAATTAACAGCCAGCTATCGGTGGATTTAGATTTAAGACTAGTGGTCTTTTGAGGATGCGACTTTGATTTCAAACAATAAATGAACACCAAGTATTAATATTTTACTAAAATGAATCACAATTACAATAATTAGAATAACTAAAACGCAATTTCATTAAAAAAAACACAGCACACGAAAGAAAAAGGCCAAGTCAATTGATCAGATCCGGTCAACAAAGTCAAAGCCCAAACCCATGTCCAAGGTCAACGAAAGTCAACTATTGGTCAAACATTCAATCAAACCAATCAACAAAATCAAATCGGTCAAAATTCAGGTCTGACCAAACCAGTCCGACCCAACCCAAACACTGTTGCAAACTTGGTGAACAAGTTGACTTTTCCTATAAAAAAGAACCCTTAGAGTGGAAAAGAGGGATCTTCTTCTCCCCGAGCTTCCTGCCCCTTCTTTCTTAGACAAGAAAATAGAAAATAACGGCTTTCTTTTACTCTTCCCCTTGGTCTCGGACCCTCTTCTTTCTGCTTCTTCTTCTCTTCCCTCAAGCACACTTTCTATATTCCTCTTTCTTACATACAGACAACTATTTCTTTTCTATTCTTCTTCTTGGCACTTCTCTTTCCCCTTCTTCACAAAATAGACAGAAAAGAGTAATCAAAACCAGCAGAAAAACAGACACAGACACATAAAAAGCAGAAGGTTGAGAGAGGGAGGAAAAAAAACAGAGCATTCATCTTCTTTTATTCTTCTTACCCATGAGAAAGAGAGGGAGAGACCTCTTCTTCTTCATACTTCCTTTCCCATTCTAAAGAACATGAACTTCCTTTCACCTCTTCTTGTGTTTTTCTTCCCTTACTAAACATATAGAAAGAAAGATTCAGATAAGAAAGGACAGACTTCCTTCTTCCCTTCTCTTAGAAACAGCAACAAAATTCCTCTCCACTTCCTCCTTCTCTGATCCAAAACACAGCAGACAACTCTGCAAAACCTTCCACTACTTCCTCTCTAAAACACACTACAGCAACACAAAAATCCCAAAGACAAGCCATCCACAGAAGCACAACAGCAGCAAAAATACCCACAGAAAAAAGTTAGGAAGCTCGAACTCTTCCTCAAACTTCGAAACTCAAGGTTGGTGGCTCGAACTGAATCCTTCTTTCTATTTCCATCACCATTCAAAGTTTCTCTTATCAAAAGAAACTCAATCAACCCTATTCAAACTACAAGCTGGCTGATTTTGTTTAAAAGAGGGATATACACAATCTACTCCAAGCAAATTACAACCTCATCTACTTATCATTATCGTTGTACTTTATCAGTTCCTTTCTCATTCAAGCAATTAACCACACTACCATCATCTACCTGCATACATTCATCTTTCTATTTAAGTCCCTTTTCCATTTATAAGCACTTACCATTATCATCATCCTTGTATTTATTTGTCCCCTCCTTCTATTTATAAAAATTACATAGCTTACAAATATCTTCGTTCAAGTTAGCTTATGTATTTTTTTACAGCTATTAATAATCTACTAATGCCAATATAGCTATATGTTTCATCTATCATCTCATTTAAACTTCCACTACGTTAGTATGAAGTTATATCATTACATACATATGCAAAACAAAGCTAAACCCACTAATAAATCACGGAATATAAAGCAAAAGGCCATAATCCCAATCACTCATCAATTTTCAGAATCGACAGCATCAATACAACATAAACTTCTAGAATCTAAAACCCCCACAAACCAACTCATAAAGTTGCAGTTTGAGGAGGATCCCAAAGCAAGTGCTAAAACCCATTCTCAACTAAAACTAAACATTACCACAACCTCCCAAATTGAATTCGGCGCACATATATACAACATAACTCTCCAGATTCACACACAGCATAAAGAACACAAATTTCCCCCAAATCATCACAATCCAACATTAAAATCGACCATAAATCCCCAGAATCTTGCCACTACCACCACAAAACTAGATTTCTAGAATTCAATACCACAAATACGAATTTCAAGTAGCATTTACTTCATGCATACCATCAACTCCATTATCAAATCACCCCCAAACTCATAGAAATTACAACCCAGATCCTAAACTGAAAAACTTACCAAAAACAAGTTCCCTCATTTTGTCATCATCGTTGCCGGCGAAGCTCAGAGCTGTCGACGACGTCCCTGTTCTTCCTGTCGTTCTCGCTGCCTCTTCTCCTCATCATGATCGAAAACCCCCAAAACCCCTACATATAACGAAAACCAGAACCAGAAAAAAAAAAGGGTCAAAACCCTAAAATTCTCCAAAAATCAAAATCAAACCCTAAAAATTGACATGCAATAAGAGGAGCTTGATGCCCAACCTTCACCCCGCGATTCCCACCATCGTCGGCGTCGATCGCCGTTCTCCCTTTCGCCGGCGCCGTCATTGCTCTCTTCCTCTCTTTCCCCTCGACCGAACCTTTCCAAAACCCAGAAATCGAAACAAAAAAACCCAATCAGTGCTAAAATCAAATAACCCAACACTCAAAATCGACATGCAAGTCGATAACAACCACTTACCTTCGCTGCCGTTACCAATCGCCGTCGTCATCTTTCTTTTTCCTCGACCTTATTAGAAAGCAGAGGAGGAAGGAGAGTTCGAGACAGATCGAGTAAGAGAGAGGTGGGGAAAAGTCGGTTTAAGAACTTTTGTTTGTGCGCCTAAAACTAATAAAGTAAACTGCCTAGTATTTAGTTCCATTAATTTATCAACCCTTTGCCTTTTATTTATTACCAAACTATATATATTTTTCCTACAAAATTTCTCATAATACGAGATTATGGATTGATAGATGGTGATTGTTTCTTATGATACATTTATTGTACCTAATTATCAACCTCCTAATTCCATAATTACCAAATTGCATTTTCTGAAGGAAATTTTTTAATTATCATCTTAATCATGATCAATTTAATGTGCAAACGTCAACTTTTCAAATCACTCATTTTAAGCGAACTACGTGGACTTTGATCCCGACTACTCGGGTACGTAGGCAACCAATAGGTTCGAGTCCAACTAACAAATTTTCTCCACATTCCTAATGTGTGAGACTCAACATTTAAAACTCACAAAAAACGAACTACGTGGACTTTGATTCCGACTAAGTCGGGTACGTAGGCAACCAATAGGTTCGAGTCCAACCAATCTAAAAAATATTTTTACGTCAATAGACGTAAACATTATCAAGTAACTACAACAGTTCAAAATTTACGATAATAACATCGTCCAATTGAACTCTAAAAATACACCCAAAATTATTAAAATAATTTAATTAAATACATCAATAAAGCCGCAAATTATGATACACCCAACTCCTAAAAAGCTTATCGATTTAAGTAGTACCCATTTGGGGCGTTGTGGGGTGTGAATACACTTCCCCACACGTAATCGTACTCCCGAACCCATAAACCTAAAATTCGCAGACCAGATTTCTGGTTTTAACCTAAATAACAAAACCGGAAAAAGGTGTTCGATCCACCACAGTAAGGTCGATGGCGACTCCGAGCTTATTTGCAACGAATCCCGCGATTCGGAGGGGCGGTTGCGACATTAAATTCTATGGTGACGCGCTAATGGTGATTCGTCGGGTGCTGGATCGGGATTGTCGGCACACGTTGGGAGGAGCTATCCTGGAAGATGTACAGCACCTTGCAGAGAGCTTTGAATTATGTTCTTGTACCTATGCTAATCGCAGGTTTAACAGGGCCGCCCATCTTGTGGCAAAACAAGCTCTTTCATCGAAAGTTCGACTACTTGTCGACTTCCGCGTGTGGTTGCTATCTGTACTCTGACTATATGACTGAATGACTCTCGTTTGTCTATGTTAAAAAAAAAATACTTTCGAATCCATCTTATGAATTCAACTTCCACTAAACCTACCTGCCTATGCCTACCTACCATGCCAAAGCTGAATTTAGATAACAATCGAACCAGTCAGCAGCTCGTCTTGTGTACACTATGCAAAGGATATGTCTATGCACAGCGACACAAACAAAGAGTACTCCAAAACATTTGGGGATGCGGTTGCTTCTTTAAACAGATCATCACTAAATCCCAAAATTAAAGTCTTGTACCCTAAATCCTAATCCACTCCAAATTGTATCATCAAAGTGTATGGTACGGTTCATATCATCTAACCCTACTTGTCCTTCCTAACAGTAACGAAGAATTTGAATTATTCTTCACTTTCACTTGGGTTAATTAAGTTTGCAAGTTCTTGTTGTGTTGCACAATCTCATTAGACATGTGCTAGATGATGATCAACCGAGATGCGTGTTTCTACCCAACATAGTTTTGTAGAATTCGAGTTATTAAAACTAACTTGTCGTTAAAATGTTATGTATTAGAATTTTCACCAATCTTGATATTACTTGTTGATTTCACGTACATGATGTGTTAGATTAAAAAACACTAAACTTATAAATTATCTCCTAATTAAAAGAAATACGATTAAAATTATCTCAATAACTTAAACGTACCTACCCGAACCAAACCGTTAATCTCAAAACCCTTTTTTAAATTTCCTTCCAAAAGGCAAACCTACCTCTAAAACCGCCCTTTTTCATACTGAAACCGTGGGCATCAACCTGGACAAGGTCATGAAGTCATCGAAACAAGGTCATGAAGTTGTTAGATGGAGGGAATAACTGGCTGACTAACCAACAAGATTTGCAACATCATTGTGTCTCTTTCTACATGGATTTGTTCAAAAAAAGAGAAGAAAGTGTGGATATGAGATCCTATCAAGACATTCCATGTGTGGTGAATGTTGAGATGAATCAGGCTCTTTGCCAACCTATTGAGGATGAGGAGATTAGAAGGGCTGTCTTTGAGTTGGGATCTGGTAAGTCCCCTGGGCCGGATGGTTTTCCCGGTCTTTTTTACAGGACCTACTGGGACAGTATTGGAGAGCAATTTTGTGGGGAAATTAAAACTTTCTTCTCACAAAGCTCAATGCCTGAAGGATGGAACGATACTCACTTGGTGCTAACACCGAAAATCTTGAATCCGGAGAGAGTATCCCAATTCAGGCCTATTAGTTGTTGCAACTTCCGGTACAAGGTGATATCCAAAATCATGACAACAAGACTTAATGTTTGGATCCCTCAACTGGTTGATGAGATGCAAACGGCTTTTAGTGGAGGGAGAGCTATTCAGGATAACATCATCATTGTCCATGAGGTCATGCACCATTTCAAGACCCGCCCAAAAGGCGGGAAGTGGGAAATGATGATTAAGTTGGATATGAAGAAGGCCTACGATATGGTTGAGTGGGAGTGTCTGGAGAGTATCCTTAGAGCCATGGGTTTTGCACATCAATGGTGCCTTTGGATCAAGGAGTGCATTGAGACTGTGCGGTTTTCGGTCTTGTTCAATGGTCAACCCTCAGAGTTCTTTCAGCCGTCCAGAGGCATCCGCCAGGGAGACCCACTCTCTCCATTGCTTTTCATTCTCCTTACTAATGCGCTTTCTTTTCTCATTTCCAAGAGTGTTCAGGAAGGTACTTTTCAAGGCATTTCTCTTAACCCAATTTGTCCTAGACTTACCCATGTGCTTTTTGCAGATGACACAATTCTGTTTGGGAAAGCATCTCTGGCAGAGGCTATGCATATTAAAAAAACAATGGAGACTTATGGCAAAATGACGGGTCAGGAGATCAATTGTGAAAAATCGGCCCTCGCTTTCAGTCACAACACCCCTGATACTATCAAGCAGATCATCGCTCAATGTTTGGGTATCCCTCTTGAAAAGGGTTTGGGAAAATACTTGGGGGTCCCTACCGAATGGGGCAGATCAAAGAAAGAAGTCTTCTCGGTTCTTGTGAGCAGAATGGAAAAGCTTTGTCAAGCATGGAAGGGTCTTGCTCTATCTCAAGCAGGAAAGGAAACAATGTTGAAATCAGTCTTTCAGGGTTACCCCACCTATATTATGTCCTGCTTCCTCCTTCCAAAAGGGACGACTAAGAAGATGAATTCACGCCTCAATGCTTTCTTCTGGGGAGGGGACATGGAAAAGAAGGCAATCCCATGGAGAAAAGGGAGCGTTTTAACGGCTCCTAAGCAGGAAGGAGGTATGGGGTTTAAGGACTTCCATCAATTCAACATGGCCCTGTTGGCGAAGCAAGGATGGAGAATTCTGAATGGGAAGGAAGAGACATGGATCAAGCTTCTTAAGGGTCTCTATTTTCCTAATGGTGATTTTATGGAGGCTGAGAAAGGTAAGCGGCCATCCTGGATTTGGTCTAGCATTTGTGAAGCAAAATCCATCTTGAAGTTGGGGGCTCGAAAGAACATGGGAAGTGGTAGATCAATCTCATTGGAAAAAGACCCTTGGATTCCAGGTATCCCCAACTTTAAGTTGCAGCCGATGAGTAGGCAACAACTGTGGGCTTTTCAATGGGTTATGGATGATGGGTGTGAATGGAACCTTGACATTATCCAACAAAGCTGCTCTACGGATGAAGTGGAGGCTATTAAGAGAATCCCAATTGGCACGGATTCTTCTGATGATGACTGGGTTTGGCATTTTGAGAGATTAGGGTTGTTTTCTGTGAAATCAGCTTACCATATTTTCAGGGAGTCGGAAAGAGATCGGCTGGGGACCCCAAATCCGAATCATCCTATCTGTACCTCAAAAGCTTGGAAATGGCTTTGGAGTCTTTCTTTGCCTCCAAAGATCCTCTCTTTTCTGTGGAGGATATCGAGGAATGCGATTGCTACGAAGGGGAATCTCTGGCATAGAAAATGTAGTTCTTCCCCGCTTTGCGATGTCTGTGAAGGGGAAGTGGAGGATGTGTGGCACTGTTTCTTCCAGTGTCCTCACGCTGCTAGAGTTTGGCAGATCCTTCAGCCTTCGCTCTCGTTGCCCCAGGACCAGACGCCTGTTGTTATGTGGTTATTTTCTATCTGTGTTGGTTCCCCCACAGTCTCTATTCCTGGGGTCGTGGCTTGCCTTTGGGCAATCTGGTTGGCCCGGAACGAGAGAGTATTCAAAGGTGCCATCCCCCGTCCTACAGTGACTTCAGCAAATGCAGTTAGAGATTTCTCTTTCTGGACGACTCCCTTTCAGCATCCTACCCCCCTCGGTGTCCAAGCCCAACACCTCTCTAACCATAACACACTTCGCCCACCGCCTAGTTCTTCCCAGTGGGAAATTCACTGTGATGGATCTTTTAGATCGGAATCACAGGTGGCGGCTTATGGGGTCATCATTAAGAACTCCCATGGGCAAGTTGTGGATGGTTGTGTTGGCACTTTCTTCTGTTCATCAGCGATTGTTGCGGAAGCAAAAGCTCTATTGACGGCGGTGAGAGCAGCAGTCTCCCTCCACGGTTCAGCCTCTATCTTCTCGGACTGTAAGGTGCTTGTGGATATCATTCAAGATCAGCATAAAGTAGGTCCTTGGCAAGTGAGAGCTTGGATTCAGTGGATACGCAATCTGCTCAGAGTGAAAGTCGGATTATCTATCTGCTTTACCCCAAGATCTTGTAACAGAAGTGCTGATTGGGTGGCAAAAGAAGCGGCAAACGGATCTCTCCCCCAAGATTGGATCCAAGTGCTTAATATTATTGATCCGATGTTGTAATGTGGCTTTGCTTGTAATTTGTCGTTGATGAAATGGAAATCACATATTGTCAACAAAAAAAAAACCTGGACAACAACACAGGGGGCACGTGTCAGTTTTCCGGTTTAGGAGTAAGAAGGAAGTAAGCTCTGCCAGTAAACTAGTAACTAACTAACACAAACTGACAAAAGCAAGAAGCTGCTGCTGAGTAACCTGGTACTGCTACTGCAGCGAGCGGCCGGCGATTCAGCCTAATCCAAACAAACCGAAGATTCCCCTGAATATTCTCTCCTTCCCATCGGCCACCTCCCCTAAAAATTTGTAAACCCGTCCCTCAACTTCCCAAAATTCATCCGCAACCCCTCTCGGAATCCGAAATTCACCAAAACACCCCGCCTTCTTCTCTATATAAATCTTTCCCTCGCATTGAAGTTCAAGCTATCATAAAAAGAAAAAGGATTTCAACTGTTAGGACAAAGTCCAGCAATGGCTGCCTCTTTAGCACCCTCTTTGGCCGACCAGATGAACCTCCTCGACGAGCTCCAGCTCTTCAAGGTCCAAGGACGCGACAAGCGCGGCAATAAAGTCCTCCGCGTCGTCGCAAAATACTTACCCGGTAAGATAAGTTCCAGCCTTAGAAGCGATGTCTGGCCGGTCAATTCCTCGTGTTTCCAGTTCACTGACATTAAGCCTTTGCTCTGTTTCTCTCTCTCTCTCTCTCTCTTTGGTGTGGCGATTTGGTATTATTTCAGCACGGATGGTGAGCTGCGAAGCAGTGAAGAAGCATTTGGAGGACTCGGTTTTCCCCAAGCTGGGAGAGAAGCCGTTCTCGGTAGTGTATTTCCACGCCGGAGTTGAACGGAACGAGAATTTCCCCGGAATCTCTGCCCTCCGATCATTCTACGACGCCGTTCCGGATCCCCTGAAGGAGAATCTGCAGGCGGTGTACTTCGTGCATCCAGGACTTCAAGCCAGGCTCTTCCTCGCCACCTTCGGCCGTTTCCTTTTCACCGGCGGGTAAATCAGAAACAGAGCATGGTTAACCGGTAATCGCTCTGTTTTTCTTACCTTTTCTCTTTGTTGGTGCGCAGATTATACGGGAAGGTGAAGTACGTTAGCAGGCTGGAGTTTGTGTGGGAGTACGTAAGGAAGGGAGAAATCCAGGTGCCGGAGTTCGTGAAGGATCACGAAGACCAACTGGAGTACCGGCCGCTGAGGACGATGGATTACGGCATGGAGAGCGATTTCCCCAGGCCGTACTGCGCCGGAGCTAACATGGACAACCCCATGGCTTTGTACTCCATGCGTTGTATTTCCTAGTGTTTATGTACAGAAGCTTTAAAACGCTGTTGTGTGTATATATAAAAAAAGTTTTGAGTGTGTTAGGACTTCAGGAAAGAGGTTTCCTTGCAATAAAAGTTTTGATGCATTTTCTATATCTTAGACCACCAAACAAACACAGCCCTAGCTAGAGCTCCAGAGACGAGCATAAACACAACAAATTGACCAAGTTGCCAAAGCAACAGGCAAGTAATGCTTACCCTCCATATTTAACCAAAACCTACCCAGGCATTATCATCGAAATCCTTGTAGAAATGAACCAACTCAAGAAACAAGTGAAAGCTTTCAATAAATTAGTGATCTTTGGAAGACATAAAGAGTAAGACACTACTATAACATCCGTCTAAACTTACTCGCCCTTGCTCACATCAGCAGTTCCTTCTTATTTGCCAACTTCTGTGGTATCTCCATTTTTCACATCAGCAGTTCCTTCTTCATTGGAAACTTCTGTAGTATCTCTGTTTTCACATCACCAGTTCCTTAAACATAAACAGAGAAATGTATACAACCAATTAACATAGAGAAATAGAGGCATGACTCAGTGGATTAGCAAGTGATTTCCAGTATATCATTAAGGAATCAGTAAATAAGTGAAAATCTGAAGCAATCATAACCGGAAAAATAATCTGCTGCAAGGGATCTAAAAAATCTAACCTTCCTACCTCAACCAATATCCGATCATAGTTCAACAGTTACTTGATTGTGCATAAAAGTCAGCTGCCAAACATTGCAATCATGTCATAAATTTGTTTCGTTCCAAAAGCACCATTTAAGGTACGAAAAAATAGAAATGAAGTTGTTAACAAATCACCAACTTTTCAGAAGGCTAAATGATGCATGATTTGTGTATTTTTGAGCTTCCCATTCGACTCCCCATTGTTGCCTTGCTCTTCATCCACCTTCAAGGGGTCATTATAGGTGGAACAATGATTCACCAGAACCTAGGAAAAAATTGCCGAGTAACAAAACCAATTTTATTGTTGGAATCAAAAGGTGGGAAAAGAAGGCTAAGATATTACGTAGGCTGTGGAAGGATGAGGATGAGCAGATGAGCCTGAAAGCATCGGTACAAAAATAAAACAAAACGGTTTCAGAGGAAGAGAAACAAACACCCGATGACAAATTAGGTTCAAGCAAACTCGACCTACCGCAGACATCTCATATACTCTTGGATGCTCCTCTGTACCATAAATAAGCAAGCCTCCATCTCAAATCAAAACCAAATGACGAAGAAGAATAGCAAAGGCACTAATATAAAAATTGATACCAATTAAAAACCGCATCACAGAACAAAGAAAAACAGTGAATTGATGGGAAGATCAATATGGACAAACAACAAAAAAAGTAAAGCGAGTGTTTAAAGAGTACATATATGTTATGTGACGTGGTACACTCCAAGAAGACAACAAAGGTAATGAAGTTAGAATGATATTGTCAGGAAATCAATGCTTAGTAGTAGAAAAGCAGCCATAGTATTTGGAGGAAATGACAGGAAGGTTAAAAGAAAACTAAAGTTGACCGTAAGTAGGATTCAAAAACTAATCAATGGTGCATTGCCAATGGTGGTTATTTTAAAGCAATGGGTCTCCCTACTCGTGCAAAAGCAAGAAGAGTAGAACAAACCTTGGTTGTTTCTTTGGATTTGTTCCTCTTATTGGCAAGCGCCTCCAATAAAGTCCACCATCATTCCTATGGACATTCTTGCAGTCATGAAAATGTCATATTTGGAACAGAAATAAACCCATGTAACTAATCCAGACTAATCATAAGGAAACAAAAGGAACAGTTTCAGCAGCACCAACATATGGATGCATTCTGAGATGAATGAGAAATCCTTCTGAAGCAACCTCTTCCCATTACCGTTACCTTGGAATGCTACTGCATCTTTCTCCTGCATGTACAGCTAGTAAGTGAGTCCATTATCATGAACTCGATTGAATCTGTAATAGAGGATACCAAATCGAATAGAAACAGCTGCGCAATGCCATCAGAAGCCAACAACAGGTTGATGGAAAGGACACTACAAATAGAGGAATGAAAAAAGTGACAACGAAACTATAGATTCTATACCACTGAAGAAAGGCATGAAATAAACAAAAAAGACAAAGAGCACAGCTCAAATAATGCTACAAATGAACTAAAAGAACCAAGTAGTAAAAAATGACATTGCAAGAGACACTCTTTTTTTTTTTTTTTTTTGACATGCAAGAGACACTCATTGAAGGCAAGATTGTATAATCATAGGATTCTAGAACCTAAACAAAGACCAGCATAAAATTCTATAAAAATCACCGAGGAAGTTTGCCTGCCAAAGGTTCCTAAAACATGCTAAAATATGTTTGTAGAAAAAATGAACTGGTAGCATCCCATAAAAAGTAACTGGCATGAAAACACTTGCTTCTCAAATTACACTAATTAAAGCCTGCATAAATCCCCTAACTTCATGCATCATCACAAAGTAAACTGCAATGATAGTCTTCTAAAGAGTTTCAAACAGCTCACAACAAACTCATCGCACAAGAAACAAACTCTTAATCCTTAAAGATTGTTCATTCCAGCTTGGTGTGGATTCATCCTTTGTTTATGTAAGTGTGTACCCATCCTTCTCGATCATTTTTTTTATAATGGTGAACCACTTTATTAATTTTAAAAGGAGATTACAAAAGGAAAAACAAAGTCTGCAACTCAACACAAATTGCAGCAAGAGAAAAGCATACAACCAAAGATCTATCTATTCTTTGCATTTTTTAGGCCCAACGAACACTAAACCAAGTGAGATTTTACAAATTGTTTTAATACTGCCAAGTTTTGCAGTCGCTGCGCATTTCAAAAGCCAGCTTCACAAAAGCAAAAGATATAGGTGAAATGAACAATTCATTGATAATGCAAGCTTCTAGCTGGTGTCTTAGCAGTAGAGCAGTTTAGAATAATGACAAAACATAACAAAGTTGGCTGCTTGCTTCCTGCACGTAACCATCGAGATGACTAGGCAACAAAAGCATTAAGCGCCCTCTTATATTGTTTTCAATTTTCATATTTAAACCAACTAAACAACCAAGAAAAGCAATTATTGGGGAATCCCAACGAATGACTTAATTGCAAAGCATGTATTCGTAATCAAATCAAAATCAATTGTAATTTTCATTTCATTACAAACAAAAATGTTCAATCTTTAAGAAAAGAGCCCTAGCTTCAACTGAAAGGTTTCCAAATGAAAAGAACACTAACTGATAACCCAATGAAGAGAGAGCATAATTGAACTTCTGAGCTTGGTAAAGAAAGCAGGAACTCTCCAAAATTGAGAGCTGCTGGTATGATGAGCAAAATTAAGATATCTAAAACTGAATTGAACGCAGTTTACTCTCCAAATTTAGAAATCTTTACCTGGAACAGATTGAATCATGGGCACTTTCAGACATTCTGGAAACCGTTCAGTCCCAGAGCTCCATTTTTGCTCAGGTCAGATCTGTAGATTTTTTTATTTGCCTACTCCCTGTCATATATAGTCAATTTCCATCACCATCATTCATCATCAAAAGAACCCTTTTTTCCATGTCTCCTTGACCTTGAGCTGTTGCCGATGAAATTAACCCCAAATCAAAAGTTAGTTGAATTTGACGATATAAATAGTATAATGCACTTGCCGGGCGATGCAAGCTTAGAGATAATCTAAGTAACAAAAATAGAAGAGCCAAAGAAATAACAATGGAAATAAGACAGAAAATTAACCTGAACAAATCAACCAAACACTGTCTTCGGTGATGGTTTGTGCAATTGCAATCCTAGCAGGCAATTGCCTACCAAACAGGCAAAATACAATCAAAGACAACGTAAAGTGAATCACAAAAGAGGAAGATCTCAGCATGGAAGGCAACTGACCGAAGCATGGTCATGATAGTTAGCAGACTTGTCAGCCGTAGTCTCAGTTTTAGTTCGTGGAGCTGGTTGGCTGGGATGCCTTTTCGGAGGCAGACCACCCGGACATGGACCAATGGTAGGTACTGACGCCTTATCTTAAATTCTTGCCCCTAGAATGATCTTGTCAAACTGGAGTTCACCAATCCAGCCACCAAACAACAAACAGAAAGCAAACTCCAAGAGGCCCATCTTGCTTTTGTGGCAGTAGGATTCCAGTAAGGATTAAACCCAATCGAAAATGTTAATAGACACAAATGACTACTTGTTAAATACAAATACTGGATTTGGTTAGCAATTTCATTTTCACCTAACAGAGCCAAGGGGGAAGAACTGGTAGTAGGATTGAAGAATCCTTAACCAACTTGATCAAGTACGAAATCGAATGCAGGATGATAGCCTTCATCATCTTCCATATGCTTCAACAATCGACGAATTCCATCTCGGATTTCATCAACCCATGGATGCATCCCATCCCTCACCACGAACACATGAACAACCCCCTTCAGCTCAATCCAGCTACACCCAGGATCCTTAGTGGCGCCACGAGTCTTCATCACACCCCTCACCCTCTCCACATCTCGCCGCCTCCCCAGAGCATTATAGATGCTCGACAATATCACATAAGTAGACGACTCCATTGATCCCAACTCGATCAACTTCTCGCCAGCATACGCTCCCAGCTCGTAGCTGCGGTAGTTTCGACACGCGCTCAGTAGAATCCGCCATAAGCACAGGCCGTGATCTATGGGGACTGATTCGATGAACTCTGTCGCTTCCCTCAACAATCCTGCCCTGCTCAGGACATCAACCATGCATGCGTAGTGGTCTAAGGTAGGAACCATGGCGAATTCGTTGACCATTGTGTTGAAGTGTTGCCAAGCTTCTTCTACCAAACCCATGTGGCTGCAAGCCGAGAGAATGTTGACGAACGTGACATCGTCTGGCTTTGTGAGCCCCTCGAGTAGCATTTCTTGGAAGAGTTCGAGAGCTTGGTTTCCTTGGCCGTTATGGGAGAGTCCTGACATCATTGCGTTCCACGACAGCACGTCTCTTTCTGTCATTCGCTTGAACACTATGCCTGCGTCGCGAATAGAGCCACATTTGGAGTACATAGTGGAGAGAGAGCTTCCGATGGGGGGTTCGAACTTGAACCCGTACTTAACAATGCAGCCATGGATTTGCTTTCCCTGTT